GTCTTGTACAAGTGCTCCATCTGCCCGGTTGCATTCAAGACCTCCGACAACTGTGAACTGCATTTGAAAAATAAACACAGTACTAGCAAAACAACTCCAGAGTAAGTTAACATCTCATGACCTGACGGTTGAAAACTGTGGGCTTCTCCTCATAGGCTGCTTTAACAGTTTTTGCTTTCTTTTTGCAGGTTAATCTTAAAGTGTTCCTGTGAGAAAATGTTCAAGAAAAAGCAGCTACTGTTTCAGCATTTCTATCAGAATTCCAGCAAGCGTGTTACGTCTGTATTTAAGTGTCCAGAATGCAACTCAGTCTTTCCACAAAAGCTGCTATTAATGCAGCATTTCAAGGTTAGAATTAAATATATGCATTTTATTTAGATGTTTTACATGTTTATCATTTTTACCTCTCAGACATAAAAAGTGGTCAGTCAGCACTGGTGAGGTGTAGCACTGATGGTTGTCAGTATTTTTTAATATATTCCCTGCAAGTGATCCTTTAGGAGTTTAGGATGTCTATAGGAGTTTATATTTGCGGCCACACTTCTTATCTAAAATGATTTGTGCTAAAGTTGTCAGACATCTGGGGAAAAAAAGGTTCCTTAGTCCATAGAAGAGTTATAAAGTGCATCCAGTAAAAGTAAGGTGCTGTGTCCTATCGTGTTTACTTTTTTGGGGTTTTTTTTTTTTTTAAACCTTTAAAACCATACACCTGATACAGATCAATCAACACGGGAAATCATTAACTTATGCTCCAGCAGTAGTGTTCTTTTGTTAAAACACCAGCAAAGAAACAGTTAAATGTTACTGTGTAAATACGTTTGAGCATAATAATGTGAATTTTGTGTTTCCTGTTCTGCAGGGTGTGCATGTAGGAAACACGATTGAAGAGACAGAGAAGAAGAAAGAAACTAAGCATGCTGACTTGCACCAGGAGTCTCAGTCTATCCAAAAACAGAAGAGTCACTACCCTATTAAACAGACAGTTGCTACTAGAGAGAAATCTGAGCAAGACAGCAAAATCCTAAATCGTGTGAAACCCGCTGGATGGACATGTAACGAGTGCCTGCAGCAGTTCACTGAGCGAGATGCCTACGTTTCCCATTTGAAGACCACACACGGAAAGGTAAGGGTGCACTGACCCCGCACTGACGTCTGCTGATGCAAAACATTACTGAGTGTTGCGCTCTTATGTCTTGAGTTGGTGTCTTAAAATCTTGACAGATATACCGACAGTGTGCCACAGAAGACCGCTCAGACAACAACATCAGTAAATCATGTAAAGCCTTGTCTGGGTTCCTGTATTAAAACTGTGGTACCTGGGTTTAGATGCCTTGAATTGGCATTTTTCCATATAAACACAATTATTTTTATTTTTTTAAGAATGTAAAATTTGTGTTTTGAATTGAAACTGGGTCATGTAGAATATACAGTATTACTCTGGAGCAGCTTGCCAATTACCACCACCCTCCTTTTTTTCCCATGCCCTCTGCTTTCTCCAGGATACACAGTGAGTTTTTAGACTCATTGGGCCTCAGTTCACACTGAGTAGAAATCGTCTTACCCTGCTACCAAATGAGTACAAATGCAAAATTATTCCCCATACACACTGCTCTGTTTTGTTTATTTTCTTTTTACTATACTGCTTTACATATTTTACCATACTGTTATACATATTACTATGCAACACGTTTAGCTCGAGATGGATCATGGAGAAAGCTGTAGAGCTTTCATCACTACACCAAAATAGCACAGAATTTCCAGCTCAAGAAACTGAAACAATAACGTTCTCAAAGCAAACACTTTTTCCTAGTTTGTTCTGTTAGAATGAAATACAGAATAAAATAAAAATATAGAAGATAAAAATAACAGAAGTGATGAGAGTCCCCTGTGCTGTAAACTGTGACTCAAGTTAAATAAAATAAAAAAAATAGAAGGGGTGGGTGAGGTTTATTATGTTTATTATGAACATATTTTGTTTTTGTGCGTAATGGAAATAAAGTAATTGAACCAGTAAAAAAAAAAATACTACGTTGAGTACGTGTTTGGGAAATACTATTAGTTGGACCAGTAGTATTTCACAGCTGTGAGTAGCCAACGAGCAGTAGGGCAGAAATGAGTCCTGTACCTCTAAGTCAGAGTTTTTAGGTCAACCAGTATAAGCAAGATGCATTTTTATTCTGGTTTGAATTCCCAGTTAGATCCAAAATTGTCTGTTTCAACGCTGATGCTTAAATAATTCACTTAAGCTCATCTTGTCATTCCTACAAATTATTAATTTAATTATTTTTGTCAACAGTCCGTGAAGAAGTATCCCTGTCGACACTGTGTGTTGTCTTTCAACACTGCAATCAGTCTGAGACGACACATTCGCAATGATCATGATGGGAAAAAGAGGACTTATACCTGTTGGTAAGATTTTGAAAATGTATAAATAACAATAGTAACTTTGGCCACAAAGCAGTTTTTAATTGTTGCTCCATCCCTGTTTGTTAGGTATTGCGTGGACAAGAAGACAATATTCACGTCAAGTGTGATGTTGAAGAACCACATCAGCCTTATGCATGGAATAAAAAATCCTGATCTTAGCCAAATGCCAAAAATGCCCATCCAAGTAGACAAAAATGCTTTGGACAAGGTAGCAATTTATTATTTCTCAACACAAACATAAATGCTTCCAATCTGCTCACTGGTCTAAACTGCATAACTTGTGATTTCCAGAGGCTTGTATCAGCAACACCTGATGTGGGCACACAGATGGAGGTTCAGGATCCTGCAGGTAGTCTCGAGGCTCCTTCAGCTAAGCGTCTGAAAACTCAGTTCCGCTGTTCGAAGTGTGGCTTCGTCACAGACAACAGCACAGAGTTCCAGCAGCATATACCTCAGCATAAAACCGACGAGAACACTCCTCAGTGCCTTCACTGTGGCCTGTGTTTCACGTCCGTGCTGTCTCTCAATAGACATCTTTTCATCGTACACAAAGTCAAAGATCCAGAGAAAGAGGAGAAAAAACTAGAGGGAGATGTTAAAGAGAAGGAGCAGGATAATCAGCTGGCTGGATCAGCAGAATCTGATGAGGAAAACGATTTGTTTCACCAGCTAAACAAATCTGATCCCTCACCGGCCGGAGAGCAAGAAAGTCCGCACTGTTCCACGAGCACAGACTGTAACTTAAATCTGAGCACTCACTCTCAGACACAAGCAGTCTCTCTCCAGCAGTGAGAGCCACCTCAGCTCCTGTTTAAAGCTGCTTTAATATCCTCAGTTTTCATGTGAAAGTCATAAGGGATGCTTGATGTTTTTAGGCAGGTGGTACAAAGATGTAATGCCTTTAATTTGGACAACCTATTTAGAGGCGGTGCAGTATATTCTAGCAGATACATATATTTAATACAGAACAAATATTTTCATATTATTTTTTTGTTTTTTAATTTAACCTTGTATGTTGGTAATATATTAATCTTGCCTTTCACATATAACTGCACTCATCACTCATACTACGGTTAAACATTTCCCCCTTCTGTTTTTTTTTCTTTTTTCGTCAAAATTTTTTGTTTAACATTTTCCATCCACCCTGGCAGGAGACTCAGGAATGTGTGTTTGTTTTACGGTCTGGTATTGATTATTGTAACAGTGTATTGGTGGAGTTTCAGGTATTGTTTCAAATTATTTAATGCCTCACACTAAATCCTGAATGATTCAGGCTGCTTTTTTAATATTAGTAGGTTTTTATTTTTTACGAAACACAGTATAATTGATTGTTCATGTAAAAGCAGTAATTACAAGTTCATGGTTTGGCCTTTTTTTTTTTAAAAAAACAACAACAATTTTATACCGTCTGTTTTGGGGGTGTTCTTTCACGTGTTTGGGAGAAACAAAGAGGTATTACATGTGTTCTGCAGCAGTATTGCTGTATTGAAAATACCTCAAATTGTCAGAAGTGGGTTTTGGTTTTTTTTTTGGTTTTTTTTTTTTTTTTTTTTTGGTTTTTTTTCCAGCAAGTGAACGGTCAATGTTACGTCAAATCAGGGTACATTTGTTGAGGATGATCCAGAGAAGGTGTGAGAGTGAAATTCATCAGCATGTCAGAGTTAATGTTTCATGAATCAGCACCTGGGAACATGAATGGGAATGCAGTGACTTAAAATAAAAAAAATATCTTAGATTAGCACTTGGCAAAAGGGGGATACTTTTCGGTTGCAGGCTCTGATATGTGAAGCGACACCTCGTTTTGTATTGACTACGTGACAGTTCCTACCTCCGTGGTAAATGGCAGTGATTGTTAAACGTCGAAAGGCTTCGAGAAGTTGCAGTTAATCTCAGTGCAATGTAAAAGAATTAGTTTTAAAAATGTATTATCCCACATTAATAAATTTTATAAATTATTTTGGGAATGACATTAAGTCTTTTTATGGTCATATTGACTCAACTGACAAGTGAACTTTTCTATGAAAGTGCTGTGTGAGCTCTTTGATTCTCTGTAAGCCCTCGAATCACCACACTGCAGCTGCTTACCTGCAGGGGCTGAGAGGAATTAGTTGTTCACTGTTTGTCTTTTTGTAATGCTTGTCGAAAGATATTTGTACTTTTTGATACTGTGTACAGTGAGGACTTGGTTAAGAATTTGTGTACCTACAGTAGCCAATTAAACTTGGATTTACAGCATTTCTTAAGCCATTTCATCTGTTCAGCATGCAGTGGCCTACGTGCCTTGCTGTTACATTAAAGTACTTACAAATAAATTGGTGCATTTAATTACAGATCTGCTCTGTCTTGTCTTTCATTACAGACCTGCTGGGTTGAAAGAATTTAATGTAATCGGGGTGTGATAATCAGTAGTTTTGCGACGAGGTCACGTGCTTAAAATCGTCACAGCAAGTCAGAAAGGCACAAGGCACTCTAATGTGCATCATGCATCCAATAAGCAACAACCACAGATGGATGACTTCATCCCATTAGAATATTAAGCCGATCCTGTCTCAGTATAACTGCCTGTACCCAAAGTAACAGAAGAGATTTCTTTTAATTGACCAGCTCCAAATTAATTGGAAGCACATCTGAGAAATGAAAGGCACTGTGACAAAGATGTGCAGGGGAGGACTCCTGTCTTCTTTCATCCTTATCTCATACATTGCTTTGACAACTTCAATGACTCTTGATTTGACTGAGCTGAGAAATAAAGTTTCAAAGCTCAAGGTGAATCCCAGGGGGAATCTGTGGGCAACGGGTAAGTAAAAATTACACTGCTGAATGATTGTTTCTTTGTTCTGTTTGCAAATGCAATATTTACAGAGAGTTTGCATGTTTCATTTAATAAGGACATTTCATGGGCAAGAAGAGCATTGTGGATAGTTCCTTTGTGAATTCTGCCTTTGAGAATATAAAAGATACAGCTGAAGGCAGAGATGTGAGACCTCTGCACGGAGTGGAAGACCTGCAGGCGCTCCTCATCCATATTCTGAAAACTGCCCAACAAACACAAGGAGAGCAGGCGCTAGACAGGTGAGTTATGTATTATTACTCAGTCTAATACCGCTGTTAATCCTTCCATTGTACAGCTTTCTGTGTTTTTCTCATGCATTTAGAGAAGAAGGACATCCAGTTCGATCAGTTGTTGCGTGACATCCTGCTGATGAAGAGGAGGGTTTCTGCTCTTGTGAAAATCAGCTAAATTATGTTTTGTTTTTTGTCTAACATAACACGTATATGTTGGCAAGTGAGAAACACTTCTGTTGTTTTACTTTATATTGTCTATAACTTTATTAAAAGCGCAGAGAATGTATTGGAAGTCTGTGTTTTCATCTATGTTCAAGTCACATTCGCACACACACAGTACCTTCAGATAATCAAGTTTCTGGCGCCCCCTGCCGGTCGGTAAAGGGAAAACCCGCTTTTAGTTAACATATCCGGGTGAAAGTGGCAACGTGCTTTTTATCACATCCCAGGGTAGTTTGAGTGGCAACTAGCCCCAGTTATGCCCCTAATAGTGATGTGTGGTTATCCCTGTAGTGGTAAGTCACGAAGGGCAGAAGAGCTGAAGGTGTATTTTGAAGAAAGCACAGAAAGAAAGGTTCATATTGTTGGAGACGGAAGCCTGGGCGTTGAGAAAAACACTGTTTACGCAGGCAAGTAAGCTTAGCACGCATTCATTAGTGTGCTTCTTAAAGCTTTTCAGCTTTCAGGGCTTTCAGTCTTACTTGGCATATTTTTGTATGTTATTAGCCACATAATACTGAGGTAACATTACCGGCCTTACACGAAGCTTAGCCGGGGGAATAAACAACAGAGGCAGGAGTGCTTATTCAGTGTTTGCGCTTATCGATGCTTGGGGCGGCTTTAAAGTTCATGACAATTACAACTGTGTTCGCCTGCTTTATGAGCGCTACTATTCAATTAATTTTACTTATTTAGCGTTAGCAGCAGTAGTAGTTAGTAGTAGAGACAGTCCAGTAATCTCTTATGAACAGGCACCTGGCGAAGGTGGGGAAGAAGGATTGCTCTTTAACAGTAAGAGACCCTACAAAACCAGTTAAAGAAGGGGCAACCATCGAGGATGATTGGTTGGAGGCTAGAGGAAAGAAAGGAGACTATTAGCAACAAATAGAACAAAAGTTAATTTCATGCTGTAGTAGCATATAAATGCATAGGGAGTGAAAGGGGCATCAAGTCGATGTGCTTACTGCATAGTAGAAAATCCCTCAGCAGCAGCTATATTCCTAAGAGATTGGATCCAAGCCTGACTATAGGATTTGTCATAAGTGGAAGTTTTCAGGCTAATTTGAAAAGTAGAGAGAGTGTCCTGTAAGCCAAACTGGGAGCTGGTTCCACAGCAGAGTTGCCTGATAGCGCCCATTCTACTTTTACAAACCCCTGAAATCACATGTAAGCGGAAACTGCTAGTAATAGAGTAGTATGGTACTAGGAATGGGAAATATATCATGACATTTCAAAAAACACTTGCGATTATGAGATTTATTATGATGTGGGGGGGGGGGGGGAGCGACGTTTTATGACGTTTGCAGCAGCAGGATTCCTAAATGAGTAACTGAAGGGCATTTTCAATTCTCCTTCTCCAATGAGCTTCTGTTATTGATGACACACTACCTAATTTGAAGAGCAATGGTACAATGGCAGCAGCATTATTGTGCAAAAGTAATAACACAGCAACAGATACAGTGACACAGCATAAGTCATAAGCCTGGGTAGTGTTTTCCCTGCAAATTTTAAGTATAAAGTAGTTGCTTAATACTTTAGTTTAACAATAACGCGTGCAGCTGGCCATGCTCAGTTGAGTCATTTTATTTACTTCTGGGTCTAATATAACCAGCTGATTGTGTATCTCCTCCTTTATAGACTGGTTGTAAAAAAAAACAAAAAAAAACAAAACTGGGTTTTTTGCTTCAAGCTGCAAGTTTGTGTCCACAGTTAGTGACAACAGTTTTCTTGGATATTTTGAAAAGTACACTGCTTTGCTGAAAGTTGTTGACGTAACTCCCTTTTTAGCTACCAAATGACCATCAGAGGCTCTTGCTCTCACAAATGCCTGGGCTTGTCTCGTTGTGTGCATTAGGGAATTTAAGCTATAGCTATAGCAACTACATAATAATATGATACTTTGATATTCATATTATTATTGTGGGTGATATGACATGGCACATCACTTGGACCTGATCATTTTAACTGTGTTACTGTTACATTGCTATTGTGCTTTTAGAATTAAACATTTTGTTTTTCAAAACTTTAGTTCTTTATTATTTCCGTAATTGTTAACATGACTAAGGAGACTGTTTGCTTCAACTGGGCAGACTTCTGCATTTACTTAATTTTACTGGAAATGTTTCAGATTCTCAAAAGGAGAAAAATGTCAGAGCGTCTCTGAAAGCTGAAGTGGAGAGGTGAGTGTTTAAAAATCTGTTGTAGGATCTGATGTTGCACAAAACCCACACATATTTTAATGCTAATTCTTTTTTGGTTTTTCTGGGTTGTTTTTTTTTTTTTTTTTTTTTAGGAAAGTCAACAAGGATGACATTGTTATTCTAGACTCATTAAATTACATAAAAGGTAAGTCTTAATACTTATTCTGTAATTGTCACAGTTACATTAAATATTGTGATTTGTAGTTTAAAATTTAAATATGTTACAGGCTACCGCTATGAACTGTTCTGCCTCATCAAACATGCACAGACTCCACACTGCTTGGTAAGTAGACAATTAAACATACATTTTGAATAAATGTTACCTTCAAATGCAATCGTGGTATGTTTGCGGGTTTTCTTTGTTAAGGTCTACAGTTTGACGTCCCATGAAGAGAGCTCATTATGGAACACAAACAGAGATGCTGCTGATCAGTACAATCAGGACATGTGAGTGAGAAGCCTCAGTATGAGAGCACGACTCTTACCTTACCTGCACTGTTGCATGTGTTTTTTGTTTTTATTTTTAGTTTTTTTGCAAACTGTCTCACATGCATTTGGTGTTTTGAAGCTTTGACGCATTAGTTCAGCGATTTGAAGCTCCGGATTCCAGAAACCGATGGGACAGCCCTCTCTTCACTATCCTGAAAGATGACACACTTCCAGTTGAAGCCATTTCTGATGCACTTTTCAAAAGAAAAGCACCCCCACCGAACCAGTCTACTCAGAGTGTAAGTCTAAGGCTACGTCCACACTAGCCCGGACAGATTTGAAAACGGCGTTTTCGTCTGAAAATGCTCCGCATTCACACTTTCGCTTTCAGTCATTTTCACAGAGTTGTCCGTCCACGTTGAAACGGCCGAAAACGCTTACGTTCCAGTACTGCGCATGCTTGAAACGCAAGACAATTCGACTTGCCTCATTTCTGTCTGCCGTTTATTTACTTTCCGGCTCCTTGAAACGTCGCGGCAAAATGTCGAGGAGAAGCACCGAGTTTTTTAAACGGACTAACAATGAGGTGGAGTTGTTGCTGAGGGTAACACAAAAGTACAAAGTTGCAAAAGCGAGTGAGAATTAAAGAATTTGAAGAAAAGCTGTCTGAAGCATGTGCAAACTGTCAAAATTGAGAGCAAACAAAGCAACCGCTGTATAATGCCCTCCGCTATCTTAGTTAAATTGGTCACTTGACTGCATCACATGACTAAAATGTGTCATCATTTTCCAAATGGCTCCGTTTTCGCTGTCCACACTGCGACGCGACAGCACCGTTTTCAAATGTATGCATTTTCGAGAGCATTTTCGAGACTCAGTGTGGACGGGAGGCCAAAACGGAGAGAAAACGATGCATTTTCAAACGACAGCACATTAGTGTGGACATAGCCTAAGAGACACTAGTTACAATCAGTCTGGAAATCTACAATATTTACTGCATGCATGTGTTTGTTTGTTTTTTGTCTGATTGTGAAGGAAACCAAATTTTTTTTCTTCTCTGTAGCAACCACTGTCATCAGCAAACTTTTTATACGAGTTGGACAAGATCACTCAAGATGTCTTGATGGTATGTTTTTTTTTTGTTTGTTTGTTTTTTCTAGTTTCACATCATTTACTGGTCATTCAGGTAGTTTCCCATGATATTTTTTTCACTGAGCTGGACTGCTTTTTGAGTTATGTCATATTCTAAGTGAAATATGACAGAAGAGTCTTTTTCAGAAAAATGTTTACAAATCCTCTGTTGGGGTATCAACATTCCTCTGCATAATGTAGACTTTGTTCTATGAATCAGAAGGTATTACATGTATTTACAGCTTTATACGTTACATCACCAGCCAAGTTGCAATTATGAGGTATTTAGCTTGGCACACAATAATAGCCCGGTTCAGGTTCAGGTACAGGTTACTGTTCTGCAGTCGTGAGTCATCCATCCTCACATGCAAACACATGCAAATGGACAACAAATGCGCATAGTGCAAAATACTGAAATAACAGCTAATTCTAATTAATTTTGGTTATCACGTAGCCCTTGAAAGTGACATAGCTGTTCCTGTGAAGTAATGACTGCTCGAACAAAGCTGTTAATTAAACCTTGTCGGTCTATTACATTCACCTTGCAAAGGGTGTGAGTCGTCAAGAAAAAGTGAACCAGCCAACCGCTGCAGACGTCTTAGGTGCAGGGGCTCTAAGTTCAGCTGTGGTTCACCAGTCAGCCTGTTAGATGACTCAACAGTTCGATTCGTTTACAGATAAGTATCCAGACCACAAGCCCAAAGAAAGAGATAAATCGGATTAAACAAAAGAACGATAAAATAAACCCATCGCAGTTTTATCAATGTGGAAACCAGAAAGCCTTCTCAAACGGGAGACTCGCTGGTGCACACAGCTTCAAAGACATTCATAACACTGAACTTCAACAGTCTGACCCTTAATAGATGTGACATTGTGTTTATGAGTGCATCTAAAATCAGTGATCATATTTTTTGCTTGCCTCATTTTATTCACTTTTGTCAATCACGTTGAACTGGTTTTCAGCATGAGTAACATCAGTTTAGCATGAGGTAAAGTGAATGGGGTCAAGCACATGCTCAGTGGGCCTTAAAATCTCTGATTTCACCATTGTTTCCAAATATTTACACTACAACTGATTTGAGGGGAACCGGTCTAAAGTCGTTAAAAGTTTGGGGATAACTACATTTGGCATTAGGCATTTAAACTATATGAATGGGTACTTGCTGTTTATAAAGATTTATTTAAAACACAATAAAATCACAGGACTCAGATGTTGAGCTCAAGATTCGAGTAAATGCCCACAAATATTATTAGGTCAGTGAGATTTTTTCACAGTCATGGAGTGAAAATCTACATCCTGCGATTAATGTTAAAGTACTGACTGTGGCTGTGTGAAATTCCTGGATCTCAATGCTAAAATCCAAAGTGTTGAAAGGATTATAAAAACAATCGACAGCTTTAGCTGTTAACTGCTGACTGTCCAACGTTTAATAAAAAATGAATGCACCCCTGCACGTTGTAAGTTTGGGAATTTCTGTCTGCCATTCATGACATGAGTATGGCATGATTACCAAAACAAGGCAACAGAGCAAAATCAGCAAAAAAAAAATCAATAATAAAAAATAACCTCCTCCTTGTCTTTGTTTTGACATCGAGCTCATGTATTTGTTAGCATGCCACATGTTGCACTTCCTTCTTTTTGCGATTTCACACAGATCACGGCGTTCTGTTGCACAATATCTGCAAAAGTTTCCAGCAAAATAAATTAAGAGGAGTAAATACTTCTCTAATTCTGATTCATTGTTCCTTATACTCTTTGTAGAGATCCCTTTTTTAAAAATTCATTTTTATATGTGTGTTTGATAAATGTAATTAAATGTTTTCAGGCGATTTTTAACGCCCAGAAGACGAGCGTTCCCGGGGATCTTATCGCAGTTCCAGGAGCTTCGGAAAAGATATCCTTTTTTAAACACAACTTGCGTGTGCCCAGTTATTTTGAACACACAATTTTGATTAATATTTTCACATTAAACAGATTTTTGTAGTTCCGTGTGGGACATCTGTCATATTTAATGACTGTGTGAAATGCTAATTTTCGTTTACCTCCCGGGGTTAATCACCTCCCCTCAATAGCGGGGGGGACAACACTGTTCTATCTGAAAGCATTAGATGAGGAGGTGGAGGAATGTGTGGCCATCACATGACTTAAAAGAAAGGTGGATCTACTAAGCAATGTTAAAGGTCTTGTCTGTAATTGCATGCTGTGGGATGTGTGGTGGGGAGAAACCAAATTATATTTGTGGATTTTCATTGGTTGCAGGACTGTGAAGCACCTTCTCAGAACCAGCCACTTTGATTTTCTTCTTTGAAGATGTTGGTCCAAGCACAGCATAACTTAAAAGCACATCATCTTCTGTTCTGGCCAACCTTTAATAAAATGGGCATAATCTGAATTTGAAATGATGCCAGTAACATTCAGTACAGGTTATTTCGTCCTGTTGTCCTGCTCAAAGGTTTAAATGCAATACTGGGGCTTGGAGATAATTTGGGCTTCTGTTAGGTTCTACCTGTGGTATTTTTCTTGTTCCTTAACTCGCTGTTAAACATTGAGCTCACCAGAAATGTCAACATGGCAGAGCTGCGGAAATTACGGCGCCAGTTCATCAGCTACACCAAGCTGCACCCGACAGAAAACACGGGACAAATTGCTAATATGTTTGTTCAGTATTTAAATAAGAGTCTGCACTGACAGTGTGTAGTGTTTGGGG